CTTTACACAAAAGTCATAAACAAACTCTTTACGATCTTCGCACTCCATATATAGACTAACATATTTAACTACATARACACGGGATGCGGGTAATCGCGGTACGAATCGAGGAACTCACTTTAGACGGGTAATCCTCCGGTGGTCGTTGCGCTGGAACCCCCATCCCCTATACTACTTACTTGGCATCAAAATATTAACAATTACTTAAAATACCTTTGTAGACAAGAGTAGCACCCCAAGGACACGTGGTTCTTCCCCATCGTACGTACACCACTCCTCCTGGTCCACGATAACCTCTGGGTCCTCTTGGGCCTAGTTGTCCATTCCTTCCCGGCCTGCCTCTTACACCATGCGCACCTATTAACATTAATTTATCATTAGTATTAGTTTTTCCTTTTAGTTTTGGTTTTGGTTTTCAAATTTTCTTAGGAAGATATGATTCCTTATTCTAAAAACTCCTATCGATGAGATTACAAAGGGGACTTCAACTTGAAATTTGGCCGTTGTTTGAGCCACAAAATGTAGCCCAAGGAAAAATGAGTTGTTTATTTGTTTGCTTGATTGCTTGACTGCTTGTCTTCAATGCTTGTTGTTCTGTGTTTTTGTTTGTTTACTTTATTTAATTATTTTTTAAAAGTTTTTATCTCTTGGTCCTGGTGTTCCATTTTTGCCATCACGACCATCTTTGCACGTTAAACATTTACCTTAAAAATAGAATCATATTAATTTGCTATGCTTGATCTGGGAGGAGAGCTAATTTACGAGAGTCAATATCAAATACACGAAAAGTTAGGAGGCCCACAAGCCTCATAGAAACTGCTGTTAACTTGAAATTGTCCTTTGCCTTTCTTCTGAGCCACCGTTTATCATTTATTGGAGAAGGGATGGATAATGGGGGATTTGAAGCTTTAGAGGGACTTTAATTAATTACAAACCTTTAGATTATTGGGGCCGGAGGGATTCAGTATTTCATTTAGCTTCACACAGGCGAGGACTCGAATAGGGAAGCACCGGTGGCGTGCGCTGCTAATGCGTCGCCTCTCATCAATGCGGCCCGAGTTCGAGTCCTGCCGGGTTCGGTGTCGTATGTGAGTAGAGTTGTCTGTCGGTTCTCTCCTGTGCTTCGAGAGTTTTTCTCCGGGTTCTCCGGTTTTCCTCCCTCCTCAAAAATCAACTTCTAAGTTCTAATTCGATCTTTGGGCTTTCACCTAGTTGGAGCCTACCTCTGTTGTGATTGTCCCACGCTGTGATACAAGAGCGAAAGCTTTTATAGATTTTGTAGAATAGAAAAAAAATCTCCCAATTTGTCACCCACTCTATATTTGCATACATGATGAATAGTGATGAAACACTCTAATTATTCCTACTATTCATTGCTACCTGGCAGTCCTGGCACTCCATCGCGACCATCTCTACCTGGAATTAAAGTCGATTCACAGATCAGTATCGAACAAAAGGGAAGAAGCAGGCATGCGCATGGTAGAAAAATAACGAGTGTAAGTTCACCTCGAAGGCAGACGATCCTTTTTGCTTCCAGTTGTTCCAATCTGAAAGAAAGGTAAATATAGATAGATACACACACACACACACACACACACACCCACCCACCCACACACACTTACACACACACACACACACACACACACACACACATACATATATACATGAACTTTATTTAAACACGATTTAAAAATTAAAGCTATGAAGCTTGTGGGGTCATGCATACATATAAAACAAATACATTATTTTAAAATTTAAACAATATATATATATATATACAACACAAAGTGTGTTGCTCTTATCAAGGTTTGTGAATTGTGAATCTTGTTTCCGTAGTCACCATTCGCAGGCGGCCATTTACTGTAATTATCGCAGCAGTCGTTCCTCAAAAATTATTTAAAACTAAAGAAAGATCTCTTAAGCCGAGAAAGAAACACAGTGACGGRAGTTGGCTAAGAAACAAGGAGGCGTAGATGAGCACTAGCCTCGATGAGCGTGCGAATGGCTTTTCAAACGATTAATATTCCTAAAATAAAACCAAATAACTGAATTTTAGCAAATTTTATGTGTAAAAGAAACCATCGTCATAGTAGTGATTTACTTTGATTTGTCCTTAATATTTAAATGTCAATAACCGATGATAACCAGTGGAACCTTACTGTAGTTGGGACTGCGTTGTTGTGTTGAATACAGATTGAATAACAAGGAAATTTCATGCTGATTAAAAGAGAAAACTTAGAAGACCAGTAGAGCGAGATGAAAAAAGGAAACTTAGAAGACCACTGAGTAGAGCGAGTTTATATAATTTAAGAAATAAAATGATTACCAAAAGAAAAAAACATGGTAGAATATCACGAAAAAGGGGGGGAAATGTGTTAATCATTGCTAATCTGTTTGTTCGAAGTATATTTTGAGTTACCGCTATTACTTCGACGGTGCCAAACTTTAGTGTGCAATCATATCTTTTTCGCTCAGACCTTAGGCTACGTTCATAATGTATGGCAGAGGTTGGGGGGGG